GAAGGAGAGGAATTTTTGTCTAGCAATATCTACAATCTCCTATTTTTATATAATCAATTAATTGGTCACCAAACTCCAACTAATATTTCAAGGACATCAACTTCAGAAGTAGGTGAATCACACCAGACATTTACTTTCAAACACACACACACACACACACACACACAGAGAGAGTTGGTGCATTTTTCACCTCACTGGATATTATCAATAGACCCTGGAAACACACTCTCCACCCACTTCTTTTGGATTTCTATAGTTTCCATATCCTCACCATCCTGTTGTACAATCTGAATTCATTATTTGGATGGTTCTTCATTCATAGCTATAACATTATGAAGTAGTATCTCTATCCCCAAGTTATCAATTTAGACCATTCTATATAGATTTGTTGATTCTCTAGCCCATCATAGAATGAACTATAAGTCTAAAAGAGACACAAAGAAAAAAACCAAGAACTCTGAACATCAAGAAATAATTCAAGGCAAACTAGATCCTATTAAATTCCATCACATATTAACAGGACTCATTCCCAAGGCTACTTTACCATTCCTTTCTTTCAGGAAAGCTGACCACAAGTACTCTAAAGACCATTAGTAGAGTTGAATATTTTTTTCCTTATGGTCTTCGGGAAGACTTATTAGGAGAATAGATAAAGAGTTTCTTTCTCTAAAAGTTATCTCCAACTCCAAGGTCAGGCAGGAGAAAAGGGGAAAGACAAGTTCTTAGTGAATATGGTTAATGAATTCGATTGCTATAAAACTGGTATGAATTAGATTGCTATAAAAGCAAACACTAGGAAGTATGAAGATCCCCAAAACAATCTTGTATTGCAGTATACATATTTCACAAATACATCTCCAGAATGATTTTTTTTCTCCCTTGTGTTATATTAGTACTATGGCAGAAATTTGCATAACAAGCCTTATGAGCTGGATGTCTCAAAAACAAAAAAGGTATTTGAGCTTTGGTGACCATTGAGAATGTCGAATTTGGTGGCATTTTATTTCTTTCATGATGATTTATCCAGATACTTGTCTCAACTCAAGTGTATAGATCTAGACTAATTCAAGAAACAATGCCTTTAAATATCATGGACCTTTTCATGTTGATGAAGTACAACAGACAGGACTGGGTGTTTCTTAGATAATCAATTAGAACATATTCTCAAACTCCAAAAGCACCATAAATTTCAACTGAGAAATGTGTCCATGAAGACACCAAATCTTTTAGTTATAAAGTAAAAACTGCAGTGAGTCAAACTGGTGAAGTGGCACTCTGAAATTCCTTCCCACCACTCTCTCTCACACACAATGAAGTAAGTTAATCACCTGTCCAGTTATCAATAACAATAAAAAGGATATCATGAAAGTTTGCTTCAAGATCAGTATGTTTGTGCTTATATAGTTGACAAGATGCAAAATCACTTGATACTTTGCTAAATAACTCTTTATCCACTGCATCTGAACTTTTAAGCATGAGCATGTAGTAACCATATATATACATATGCATCTATATGTGTATATATACATACATTGACAGCATCCCATTTAAGAACAACAGTTATTTTTATCAAGAGGTAACATGCTACAATTGAATATAAAAGGTATGATTCTGGGTAAGTGCTACTGGAGAAGCCTACGTCTGTCATAAATGATCAGACACCTGAACAGAATATTTTCAAATGAGCATACACATCAACTGAAAACCATACATCTTCATCTGCACAAATAGTTTTACTTCATTGACCATGGACAATTATCAGCTAAAGAACCATGTATTTCCCCCTCTCCTTTCACACTCCACAGAAGAACAATAACCCTCAATTAATGACACAACTGTTTGGCTTGAAAAAATGTGATGTTGTCATATACAGCATTGTGCATTTTCTGAGTGACACTGCTACCAGCTACTCAACAGAATATAATTACATCTGGAATCAGATATCACTTCTATATGCAAAGAAAGGCTGTAGACATAAGGAACTTATACACACACACATACACACACACTCACACATCTGACACATAATGAGAATACAAGGCAAGAAAAAAGCTGGTGCAGGTTGCTAACTAGTGTGCTTCTTACTGCTGTTGAAGCTGGTACTTTCCTGTATTTCTACTTGGTTGAAAGCAATGTACAATTAACCCCCGTCCCTAGAATATATATTAATTGGTTCTGAATTCCCTTCAAGTTTCCATTCCACTCTGGAGTCCTCCTTTCCTATCTTCAATAGTCTACCTCAAATTCTTCCAACATCTTCTCTCATCCTCAAGATGGCTACCTTACCTAATGGAAAAGCAACATCTTCATGGTTGGCTTTTCTTTTTTTTAATTAATTCCTGAAGCATTTCAGAATGTAGTTCTTTCCTTAAGTCAATTTCCTACATTCTCTAGAAGTGATCTGTGAAGAACTCTAATGTGTGTAGATTGGGGTAGGAATGGGTCTTTCCCCCCTCCCCCCAAATCATCCACACAAAATGTCTTCCTACAAGATTAATAAATTCTTCCAATTAAAAAGGTGAAGCTACCTAGACATAAGGTTTTCTCAACTGACATAATTTGCTTCCATAGTGACATTGTTAAGAAGATATTGCAGGAGACTTACAGCACTTGAGAACACAAGGGGAAAAAATAGCAGAAGGAAAGAGAAAGGGGGGAAACAAAGGAACCAGAAGAAGGCCTAACATAGAAATGGAGCAGCTAGAAGGGAAATGGAGAACGTGGAGAAGCTGGTGCTAGTCAATCTTAGAGTTCCTTTAAGATCTAAGCAGGAACACTTGCTTTGCCTTGCTTTTTTTTTTGAGAGAGAGAAACCAACCCATACCAGACAATAAAGTCTTGCAGTACATCCAACATGATGATAACCCAGCCTCAGAACTCAAAAGAAATAAAAAAAGACAAAACAAACAAACAAACAAAACTCAGCTTAGAGCCATGTTCACAATGAGGAAATAACATTTCCTGGTGAGTCTGAGGAGACCTAAAGTTGTGAGGAGACCTCAGTGGAAGCGTTTTAAGGTTTTTGCCTAGCCTTTCCTGAAGGAGGGGAAAACCCTTCAGGTCCACTCCAGAGGCAAGAGAGGGGGAGGGGGGGAAGAATTCCAAAAGTTTACTTTAAAATGGAAACAAACGTCTCAATAACTTGTGAAAGCACTCCTTGGGTGGGAGAAAAATCTGAGGAACCCTTCCTTGAAAGCCCTCATCTTCCTGCATAATGAATAGCCAGTGAGAAGCCACCACAAGGTCTCCCTCTGGAGAGAGAGAAGGAGTAGGCAGGCAAGCCTCCTCCGCCTCCTCCTCCTCCTCCAGCCATCACCAAGAGCTTCAAAATGGAGACATTCATAATTTTATAAACACTTCTCATCTCAGCTTTGTCTCCTGGAAACCCACTCTCCTCCATTTTCTGATGGAATTACAACATGACATCCCTCACCTGACTCAGTTCCCAGCTCTCAACCAAACACTAGGCACTTCCTCAAATAATAATGATCATGATCATGATAAAGAAACCTGCCAGCAATCCAGAAACAAAACCAAAGCAAACCAAACAGCCAGCAACAGACACTCAGACACAGCCTCCCGGGAACCCTGGGAGAAAGCTCCAACTGGTTAGTCTTTCCCCATCCCAGACGAGTGCTTAAAAATAAAACTTTTTTTTCTTTTTTTGGGGGGTTGGGAAGGATTAGAAAAGGAACTCCAGGCAAGACTCCCTCCCTTGGCTCTCTTGTAGGTCAGAAGCTACAATGAAAAGAAAATGAAGGTTCCTTCAGGAGTGGTGAACAGCCTGGAGGATGAACGTGAGAAGGAGCTTTGTGTTTGGGAGTCTGGACTGGAACCAAGGCAGACAGCTTGCAAATGGAGGACAGGGAGATAAAGAAAAGGAAAGAGAAGGTCTGTTCCAATGAGGGGCGGCTGCGGCTTCCCTCGTGCCTCGCAGAGAGGACGGACCCCTGGGAACCACACCAGGACGAGACGCCCCCCTCCAGACCCCTGCCTTCCTTTCTGCCAGCCTCAGAAGAGAGCCAAGCGTGTGTAATGGCTTCTCCTCTCCAGAAACCGTTGTCCTCTTCCACCAGACGCTTCGGAACCCCCAAGCTCTTCAACCTGCACCCCTCCAACCCGGCCTGCGCCCCCCAACCCACCCACCCACCACTTCTTTCCTCCTCGGCAGCAGCGGCCCCCCAACACATCCCGACCCCGCATCCCAACTTCGGGGAGAGAGAGAGAGAGAGGCAAATACCTGAGAAAGAGGGGGGGTGCCAATCCGCACGCCTGTGCCATCGGGAGGGGGGGGACAGACAGAGAGGAGGGGGGCAAGGAAGGAGAGGGACAGAGAAAGAAAGAGGTCAACCCGCTCAGGTCGGGGCCGCTCGCTCGGAGCGCTCCTCCTCTGACCCTCGCTCGCTCGCTCGCCTTGGCTGGGGCTCCGGGTCTCCCAAGCCTCCCGCCCTCCGCCCCCCTCTCCGTCCCCACTCCGGTCCCCGCACTCGCTCCGAGCATCCCCGTCTAAGATCTCTCTTCTCACTCTTTTTTCTTTCTTTTTCTTTTCTTTTCTTTTTTTGCCTCCCCTTCTCTGGATGGAACTAACATGAAATTAATTAAGCCGCGGCGCTCGCCCTCCCCACCCCCTCCCCAGCCGCCCCCCCCCACCCGGGCAGAAGGAGCAGTCAGCAGGAAAAGCACAGCCACCTCCAGTGCCACCCCACCACCTTCTCCTCCTCTTCCTCCCTCGCTTCTCCTCCTCCTCCTTCTCTTCCTCCTCCTCCTCCTCCCCCTGCTGCTCTCCCTCCTCCCCCCCCTCCTCCACCTCCTGCTTCTCCTCTCTAGCTTCTCTGCCCAACAGCCAGTCCATACAGGGGACTTCCTCTCCTCCCGGCGCCACCAGCCCTCCTGGACCGAATGAATGAGCGCGTTTGTGCCTCCGCCGCCCCGCGCTCCGGCTCTCCTCCCCCGAGCCACTCGGACCACCCAGAGGTGCTGCTTTCATTGCAGTAACTTACAGAAGAAGCGTCCCGGCGCCGGGAGGTGCTTCGGGCTCTCCAGCCCCACCGCCTCCTGATCCTCTTTCTCTTTCTCCTCTTCCTGCTCGGGTTATTGTTGTGGAAGTTGTTTGGGAGTCTCATGTGCTTCTGCCGGGTCTCAGCAATGGAGGATCGCCATCTTCCCTGCCTTCCTCGGCTCCTCAGACTCGCTGCAGCTGCAGATGACCTGAGATATCTCTCTCTCTCTCTCTCCCCCCCTCTCTCTCGCGCTCTCTCTCTCTCTCCCCCTCTCTGCTCTTCTCTCCTCCCTCTTCCTCGCGCGCTCTCTCCTCTCTCCCCTCTCTCTCTTCTCCCTCCCTCTGTGTCTCTCTCTCTGAATAATGAGCAACTGGAGGGAGAGAGAAAGCAAGACAGAAAGAGAGAAGACAATCTTCTGCTGCCACACAAAACGCCGGAGCACCAGGGGGTGCGCGAAGCCTTCCTAATAACAACACGTTCAGGAGACAGGAAAGAGGGGAGGGAAAGAAAAGAAAGATCGGAGGAAAGGGCTAAGGGGAGGGAGGGGAGAAAAAAAAAGGGGGGGGAAGGATTATATCCCAAGAGCTTGGAGAAGCGCAGAAGGAGACGCTGGAAGAGATGCTCAGGCTGTGGCTGCTGTCTCCCCCCCCGCCCCTCCCCTTGCTGAACCCCAGAAGGAAGAGGCAAGGTGGTTGCAAAGTTAAGGCTGGGACATTGTCTTTGTCACTCGGAGCAACCCAAGAGCCAGGCCAGTGAGATGCAAGAGGAGGAGGAGGTGGCGGCGGCCGTGGAGGAGGAGGAGGAAGAAGAGGAGGAGGAGGGGGGGGAGAGGGAGAAGAGATGAATAAAGACTTGCGGAGAAGGCGGTGCGAGGAGCGCGGCCGCAGGGACAGAAGAAGCGTGCGCGTTTGCGTCCTGGAGGCACCGGATCGCCCGGGCGGGCAGAGGAATCCTTGTAAGGACCCTGCCCCAAAGCTCAAAGCCTCCCCACCATCATCCTCGCCCGAGGCGCCCAGCCCCGGCCCCCGGGGGTCCCTCCACGCGCATCCATCTAGAGGCCAATCTTTGCCCAGAACCTAGATGGGAAACTAGAGGTTGCAAGTCGAAAGCCCTGGCCAACCACGTGGGGCTTTTTAATTCCTTCTCAGCTGGCGGTGTATCTCCCAGTGAAAAAGCGCAAGTTGTCCATGACTGGCACTATGTTGATGCCCGTCTCCTCTGGAATAAAGGCTTATTTGTGCGTTTTACTTCTTTCCTGATATGGAACGGGAGGGGGGGGGAAGGGAACCCATCCTTGCAAGCTTCGGAACCACCACTTTCTTTTCCTAACTTGTGAAGTGTTTTGACTGCGCACCAAAAAGGAAAAAAAAAAAGCCTACTTAAATAACTTTACACCCTCCAGCCCCGCGTTGTTTGCACTTTCTGGCCGATCATCTAAAGCCCCGGAAAGTAACAATCAGCGCTCCTAATGATAAGGTGTCATGGTGTTGAAGACGAGCGAGCCAAGATGAAGCTTTCAACCCCTTGGATTTTTATTTAGTGCAATTTCCCCCCGCCTCCAAATCTGGACTATCTCTTTTGCAAAAGAGTGGGTTTCCGCCTCCAGCTACCCCCAATCCTCTACTCTCCCCCGCCCCTCCACCCCCCCCCCGCCCCAGTTACTTTCACCAGGTCAAATGTCTCCCATGGCTTTTATTGGATGAGGCATGGGGGGGAGGGAAGGTAGGGAGCGAGGGAGACTACAGTATCAAAAAAAAAAAAATCAATGCAGCAAATCAGGAGCAAATGAAGTTCAAGGGCATGGGCTGGTGGTACCGTTTCTATTTCTCAGATCCTCGAGTTGGACATCCACAGCCTCAGGAGAGAGGCAAGCAGCGCGCGGGGCAGACCTTAATTAAAGTTTCTTTTGTCCGCGTCTGAATTGCGGGGAGGTAGGGAGGGGATGTTGTTGGATTCCTTCGCATAGAGGAGCGCGCATCCGGTGAAAGCGCCCGCGTCGAGGATCCGGGGCGAGATTGTCCTTTTAATACTCGCCCCCCCTCTCTAACCATCTCCTCCCCCCGCCCTACTCCCCGACAGCCTGGACAGATACACCCGAAATCCGTACAATAAAGAGGGAAAAGGAGGAGGCGCGCACCGAGTGGGTTCACACCGGAGAGCAGGATTTCAGAAACAGATTTAAAATCCTCATTTCCACACACACCTCCCGCCTAAGGTTTTTTTTTTTTTGTCCTCCCGGCCTTCCCCCCGCCCCCACTCCGCCCCATGGGCGACCGATTGTATATTCCCGAGTAGAATCTCTCACCCGGACGCACGATCGCACCCTCTTCCACTCAACACTTCCTGCCCTTTCCTCCTCCTACTCACATTGAAAAGCACCGAAAGCCCTAAAAGGGTGTTGATGGCCGGGGGGGGGGGTGCGGTGATAAATAAATAAGTGACCCGACGCGTGCGGTGGAGAAGAAAGGAGGGGGGTGGGGAGAAAGAGGTGAGGGGGGAGAGAAGTAGGGAGAGAAGAAGCAGAAGGAGAAAGCAGCCCGGCGAGAGGAAAAAGGGAGTTTAAAAAAGAAAAGGCCAGGAGAGCATGAGGCTGCTCGGCTTTGTGCAGAACAGTCACCGGACTCCCCGGATCCAGGTTGCCTGTTGGGAGCTGGGCAAGTCCTGGAAGTCCCCCACACACACACCCCACCCCACCCCCGACCTCCTCCCAGGCGGGACCCCGGGAGTATCCGAGCGCTGGCCGCCGCTCCACGCCTCCCCACCACCACCACCCCAAATTCCTCGTGGCACCAAGAGGAAGCGCGCCAGGTCTCCAGCGTCCCGGCTGATCATTTACCTCTTTGTTTTTAATATTTAAAAGGAAAAGACAAGAAAGCTGACTTTTAGTGTCCAGCTGGTATGGGGGGTGGGGGGGGGAATAACCACGGTTATCTCAGGTTGAAAGCTCCTAGGACCGCTGGGGTTTAGAGGCTAAGATTAAATCTTCCTCGACGTGAAGGTACCCGGTCCCCCCCCCTTTCTGGCTTGGCTTGGGGTCGGATGGTCGTAAAATGGTGGGGGGTCGCCCTTTTCCCCTGCTCTGCCACCACCATCACCATCACCCCTGGGGTGTTGGGGGGGGGGAAGGTTGTGGATGCAGCGTAGGGCACCGGAGGGTGGAGGCAGAGGAAGAAGCGGCGGGGTCAGAGGAAACCTCTGGGGTGCCAGGGCTCCCGGGGCGGCCCAGGCTTTGGCAGCCGGGGAAGGAGCCCCGGGGAGGAGCCTTTCGGGGAGAGCGCGCGAGCGCGCCCCAACACGCCTCCGACCCCGGCAACCCACTTGGCGGAGGCCGGCGACGGCGCACGGCGGGCCGACCGCTGTGAACTCGCGAAATTAACCTTGCGCGCTACAATTAAACGGGCTGCCGCCCTTTCACACTCACCTCGAACGACCGAGACAGACAAGAGCTCCCGAGCCGGCGGCTGGGGGACCTGGCTCCACCCTCCGGTCCCAGGAGAAGCGGACACACACACACACACACACACACACACTCACACACACACACACACAAAGGGGGGGGGGAGATGGACTTGGAGATGGCCCCGCCCTTCCAACGCTCCAATCCTTGGAAACCAAACCTCCTCTCCAAGGCTTCCACGTCTAGAAGGGACAAAGACAGCGTGGAGATGCAGACGCTGATGGGGAACCGGTGGCTCGCTGCCTTCTTTCTGATGTGGGTGTCTGGGGCGCGGGGGGGGGGGGAGCTGGTGCTCATCCCAAGTAGGGCACCAGCGGATGATCTTTCCAAGACCAGCCTGCTGCTCCTGGAGAAGGAGCTACGCCAGGCTCCCCAAAGTTGCCAGGAGTAAACTCTTACAAAACGCCCGGGCAAAGCCCCGCTTTTTGGAAAGTGGCAAGCCTTAAAAAAAAAAAAGTCCATTTTGATGCTATGGCGCGTTGATCCTCCGGACTTGGAAGGAATCCCACGTGCCTGGATTCCCCCAAGTAAAACCATCCAAAGATCTGAAACCTAAGAGAAGCGTGGGTTGTTTGGGGTTGTTGTTTGTTGTTATCGTCGTTGTTTTGAGTGGTTGGGTTTTATAGAGGACAGTTTCTCAAATACTAAGGAAAACAACTCGGATACGTGAAAGCCAGGACCGAGGGTGAGGGTTTGAGTGAAAAACCTTAATAAACTTGGCACTTAAGTAACCTAATTAGGCTTTGCCATTAGCAGGTCATTTAGATAAGTAGGAGAAAGTTCACACCGCTTGCTGGTGCGTTCCTTAAGATGGTTCACAAAGATAATGCAAGCCTAGTTGATGGGTTCTCCATGGGGGAGGAAGAGTTAAAGTTTACATTTAAAAAAAAATTAAACGAGTTTGTTCTCCGGCTGCTGTAGGAAGGTCTCAGGGACTTATTGACTCCCCGAAGTCCCATGGGATCTAGAAACTTTGTTAATATTCCAAGAAATAAGAATATGATTGAAAGTCTGGACTTTTCTTCTCCCTTACCATGGGTGATTGGCATACAGCGTTTTCATAAAGAGAAACTATGGCTCATCAAAAATGTGACTTTATGAGCACTAGTAGAATAATAAGTAGAATAATAAATCTGGCCATTTTCGTCCAGGAAATAATAAAAATTCTATAACCAGAGTGGCCCAAGCTATGTGACAGTAGTGACATGAGGATAGTCCCGAAGTTATTTTGGTTGTTGGAGCCGAAGAAGAAGAAGAGAAGGAGGAGGAGGAGGAGAAGAAGCAGAAGCAGAAGCAGAAGAAATGCGTTAAGGAGAAGTGTTTATGGAAGGGGAGAGGGCTATTACCAAACCTTCAGGACCACTCATTGGAGGGGTGGGGGTGCGGAGGAGGCTGGTCCAGAGATTACATGAAAAAGATAAAATTTCCACGGAAACAAGAGTGGATAGCTATTCCGAAGTCATTGTTTCAACATTTACATTCTATTCTATCATATGAAAAAGGAAATGTTGAGGAATGTCTCTCGCTTCCTGGAAACTATACCAAAAAGAAAGAATAATAATGCTGTAGATAGCTCCACTTTCTACATTCCAGCTGGAAAAGTAGGTGAATAGAGTCATTAGACTTTTTTAAAAAATCTTAATTATTCCAATCTTAAACATTTAACCATATTGTTAACACACCTCTTGCTGGCATTTCTCTGCTTATAAAAAAATTCCTGAGTTTTGTTTGTTTGTGCTTTTTGCAATTCAATATAGTGTTTTTACTATTTGAGTTTATGAGTCCATAACAGATCATTTATTT